TGAAGCTCTATGATGTTGTTTGACGATAACGAATTGTTTTCTGAAATCCATGCAAATACCCACCGGTGGAAACTAACGATTTTAAATTGGCTTACTACTTGACTAGCCTATTGGTCCCAAGCAAATAGATTAACTTACCCCATTCAAGTCGAAATTCTAGTGCTACACTATGTTTGTTTTGATTCGCTATGAAAGTTTGACAGATAACATAAGGGGTTCATGGATTTTCCTATACTTCGAGGGTAGCATCGATTAGCTTGGGACCGAAGAGAGTACCAGAGCTGAGCCAAACAGTTGAACACGTTTCTTCGGGACCTTCTAGTCTTAGAGTTACCTCTATGGAAATACTCTATCCGAACATACCCTTAAGCTGGGTATAGACAGGGCAAGTAAATTGATCAAGTCAGTTGAATTCAACTGACTTGATCGCGAATTGAACGTGTAAACCATGCCATTCAACTGACTTGTTCCACTCACTTGAATTGAAAAAAGTTGAACCAGACTCAACTTTTCAAGCCAATTGAGTTCTACTGAGTTAATCATTTGACTTGCCCAGTCTAAACCCAGCTTTACAGATCATTTAACTTCCCGGAAGTTCTGGAGGTTCTTGAAGTTGTTGAAAGTCTTAGGAAATTTCTTGAAGTTTTCAAAACTTACTGAAGGTTCCCGACATTTTCCTGAAGTTAATGGGTCCTACCAAACAGTTGTTGAAATTTTCTTTAGGCTCTCGGAACTTCCTTAAGTACTCGCATATTTTCTTGATGTGCATGGAGCTACTCCGAATTTAACGTTACTTCCCGAAAGTTATCTAAACTTCTATGAATGTATCTCGACTTCTTTCGTCTGTGTTTTTGGAACGTCTGGTAAGCTCCTGTAGTTTTTCAAAATGTTCTGGAATTTTTTGTAAAGTTCCCACATTTTAGCTAATGGTAATGGAACTGCCCCGAAGTTCTCTCAAGACTACTCGGAAGTGGTCTGACCTTTCATAAAGACGCTAAATGACGAATCGGAAAAACTCGACCTTCTCCGATTGGCATAAAATTTTGCATAATTGTAGTCGACCATTTTGGATGTTGTATTTTTTCAAAATGGCGTCTGTAACTTTTCAATAAATTGTAACATGAAAACGCCACTTCTGATCGAAATGACGTCTGAGATAAAGTTGTAGAGTTAAATAAAGTCTTTCAGGGAAAGATATAGGTGGTATTTTTTTTTTTTAATTTTGAATAAGAATTTAATAAAGTGTCACCACAAATATCTTAATAAATGGAACTTCATTTTTTTACTTAAAGAAAGCTCATTAAAAATTTAAACTTTTGGAAGTTGTTGTTCTACGATTTTTATTAAATGTGTTCATTTTCAGTTTGCATTTTTCATGAGCTATATTTAAACATAAAAAATAAATATTGTAGTTATTCTTTTTTAAATATATTTCAGCTTTTAACACATTTTTAAATTTTTACTCAAAATTACTAAAATTACCGGGTATATTTTCCCAGAAAGACTTTATTTTCCTAAACAATTTTGCCTCAGACGACATTTCGATCGGCAATGACATTTTAGTGCTACAATTTATTGAAAAATGTCAAAGACGCCATTTTGAAAAAATCGTAAAATTCAAGGTGGCCGAATTTTGGCAAAAATGTGAATGATGCCCATAACGCATAATTATGCAAAGTTTCATGCAAATCGGAGAATGCCGATTCGAATTAAAATTAGAATGCTTTCGATCAGTAACGACCTATAATTTCAAATTATTGCTCAAAATTAGACTAAATTTGCTGATCGAAACCATTTAAATTGTCTTATAATAAATCAAACCTTTTAATGGACTCGTTTATGATGAGGTTTTGGAGTGGCATGAGCAATAGCCTTTCCTTTGGCTTGACCATTATGGCGATTATTTCGATTATTTTGGCGATTATCCGGCAATATTTCAGGATTTTAGGCCATTTCGGCGTTTCTAAAACCATTTTTGCATTTAAAAGCCCACTTTGGCATATCGCAGGGCCTTTTTAAAACTTAAAATGGCATTTTGTCATTAATTAATAGTTCATTCAATATATACGTAAACACTTAAGGGGGAGGGGCGGGGGGTTCGTTGAATATTATTAAGTTTTATAATGGGGGAGGGGTTAAATCCCAAAAAAGCACTTACGTAATTATTGGCCCTAAGCCTTTTGGGCGATTCCAGGTCATTTTAAAGTCATTATTTTGCCGATTATTATAACGTTTTCAAGGCATTTTTGGCTTTTTATGGATCATTTGTGCATTTGTAACGCAATTTTTGGTATGTTGTAAAGGTCATTTTATCCTTTACAAGCTATTTTGGCGTTTATATGTCACTTTTGGCCAAGGTCCACTTTGGATTCTAGATCATTTTGACGTAGTTTAGGTCATTTATCACAAGGACATTTTGACATTTGACCATACTCTTCTTAGTAACTACTCAAAAATGAGTAAACGCACATTTTATATCATCATGACACATGCTTCTTAAGGCTCAAACGTAATGTGGGCGGAAGCGGAACGGAAACGGAAAGTTTGACAGTTGCCACAATTTACATCAAGATGCCTAACCGAAGTCGATTTGGTTTTAACTAGAAATACTCAAAGAATGTTTTAAGCCAAATGAACTGTCAAAATCTGAGCCAATCGAACATTCCAATTAGATTTTTTACGAGGATTTCTTATTCTTACTAGAATAAATTTGAGAGTATTGCAATCGAACAGAAATTCAATCACCTTTATGTTTTGTGTGCTTCTCAAATTCAACTAGTTTTTGGAACCAAAAACAATATTCTACCTCTATTGATTAATTGATCTTCGTTGGTTAATGAATGGCAACAAGAAATGTGCAAAATATTGCGATGCAATCAATTATTATTTTGCACGTAAATCGAATCAAAAATAAAAGTCATTCGAAATACTAGCTTCTAGCAAGAGTTTCAAGATAATTTAGGAACAAATCCCTGCTGCCGAATTGTATTTTGTTTTCTCCGCCTATCTCTCCCTCTGAGTATTTCTAGTTTCAACGGGTTTTTCCGCTGCCGTTCCGCTTCCGCTGTCATTGCGATTGGCCCTTTAAAGCCCAATCGTAATGACAGCGGCAGCGGAGAGCCCGATCTGATTAAGCCTACTTGCCGGATTGAAAACTAGTTAGAACCAAATCGACTTCGGTTCGGCATCTTGATGTCATTTGTGACAACTATCAAACTTGCCGTTTCCTTTCCGCTTCCGCCCACATTGCGTTTCATCCCGGTGTCACTCATTTCAAGTAAAAATTAAAAAAAAAATCGTATGTCAATTCCTTCGGTTCTATTACCTCTGTTGTCAGATTGATTGATTTCTAATTCAAAATCAATTGATCACCAACATTTCGCAAGGGCAAAACTGCTATAAGGTTGAATCCAGCCGTGTCTTCGATTTTGACGTTTCGGTTCAGAGACCTATTCTGCATCCAAGGGGCAAATTAACAGGTTGCTTAGATATTTCATTTTCACGTTGGTTCAAAACGCGATTACATTGCCCAATCAACCTGACAAAAGCCTTAACCTGTTAGTTAACATCTTCTCAGAATACATAAATAAAACAAACGCCTGCTAAACGATTAAAACAAAACTCAGCCTGCTATTTTGCAATTCCATATGCGTGACACCCGCGTTTTGTCTTACTGTTCTCTCTGTACTTCTGCCCCCATCCCCTCGTTACGTTCCGAACCGCCCACCGCCACTGGCTCACTCGCTTGCTCGTTCGATTCGAGAGCTTCGTTTTGACATTTGTTTTTTTTTTCGTTCACATTCTTCGTCATCTGGTTTTTGAGTTAGAAAGATTGCGTTTTTTGTGTGTTTCCTCCGGCCGTTTCCCCGACACCGCCGCCACCGGCGGCGCTTAACTAGAGCTATTGCCGCTGCTAGAGCACTGACATTCACACACACACACACATAAACACTCGCATCCCGCGCGCGCATTTTGCCTGTTTGTTGAATGTTATTATTTTCCATTTGCGTTCTTTTCCGCCGCTGGAATTTGCTTATCTCATGAAAAACCGAACTCGCAGTAATGCAGTCGAAAAAAATAACCGTCGAAAACACGCACAGCCTACTGGGGGGGCCAGTGTTGCCATTTGGTTCGCACGCACACTCGTCCCCGCCCTCCGTTCCACACACGCCGCCGCCGCCGAGACAGCCGTCCAATCAATCGCTCGCTCTCTCTCTTATCGCACCACTATCGGAACTCGAATCGTCCATTATTAATGATTTTTCTTCTACCAACTCTTCTCTCCCCCTTTTTCCCTTCTCTTCTTTCTTTCTTGGAAATATTTTTCTAGGATAAAATAAAGTCTGTTTTGAATCCAATAACGAAAACAAACAAACAAAAAAAAAGTTCGGTTTTACCTAAACACGGTTAGCAATGAAGTTTTCCTAGACGAAACGTAAACAAACGACAGTACGAAATCAGTTATTCAAAGCATTCCAAAAGTAAACAAAGCAAAACACAAAAAAAATCAATAGAAGCAAATGGTGACAGTGTGTGAGTGTGTCAATTTTTTACTACCGCCAATACTTCCGTCACCAACGCATCGACAACGGCGACAGCGGCAAACTAACGTCAACAATAGCTGTCCAATTACCTACGATAACAATAGAAGAACGGCAGCGAAACGTCAAACTCGTACTTCATCCGTTCCAATGTAAATAGAACACACATCATCTGATAGCTCTTAATCAAAACATCAACACGGATACGTCCATACGTCAATAATCGCTACAACAGTTACTACTACTACTACTACTGCGAATACCTAGTCAGTTATACTACTAGAAAGCATTTAAATGTCATTCAGTTGTATTACACACACCAAGTTTGAAACCCTAAGCGATATTTAAAAGAAAAGTGCAATTATATAGTGTTTTAACGAAAGAAAATACCAATACAACATCCGATAACTAACGCTCACCGTCATCCTCCTCCTTTCCACTCGTCGCACCCGTGTCAAGGTTCTACCACAAAGGATTTCCAATGTTAAATAGCCAACAGCAAGTCTCGCCAGCAGCCTCACAGCAGCAGCAGCAGCAGCAACATACACCAAATCACAATCGCTCGCCAGATCAGAACAATAGCTACTTCATATTCGACGACCTGAGTTCGGCTCTGGCAGCCGAACGGAACAACAATACCGCTCCCAAGGGCAGCGCCCAAAACCTGGTCCTGACGGCCGGCGGTGGCAACAATAATGATAGCATCATTGCCAAGATCAATCAGATCAACAGCACCCATCATAGCGCTAGCAGTGGTGGCGCCTCGCGAGCAAACGCCGGAACCGCTACCGGGCTGTCCTCGCCGTCGTCCACTACCGGTGGAGCTTCGTCGCAAACTTCCGTCTCATCCGTATCGTCGTCCAGCGGCGGTGGCATCATGTCGCAACAGCAACAGCAACAACACCAAATCATGTCCGCACTGGCAGCACAGCAGCAAAAGTCACCCTTCTACCAACGGTATGGCAACACTGCCGGTACGAACGCCACCAGTGCTGCCAGTCAAGCATTCCAACAGCAGCAGGCTTCGTTTGCGTCGCCGCCGTTCGGCGCGTACGGCCAATCACAGCAGCAGCCTACTACGCTGCTCCAGCAAACTCAGCAAGCGGCTTCCCTCCAGCAGAAGACTGGTTTCGGTGAGTTGTCACTCCTAAACAAAAAACAAAAACAAACTTCTATCTTCCAAGCCAACACACCACTACCACCACCTTCTTCTATTACACCACCAAACCAAAAACGCATGCTTTGTTCGTGTACGTTCGTGTTTGTGTGTACGTGTGTTGCTCTCAGCTGCTTGCCGTGCTTACTCTCTCTTTCTCTCACACCACCACCACCACAACACTACGTCACGCCGCCGAGCCGCTCGTCATCTCATCGCTGGAAACCATCATCTTTCGCGCATCGCATCGCATCAACCATCACCATCCTTCACTTTTGTCAACAACGGGCATCAAAAACAAGAACAACAACCAAAAATCATCCGCTTTCAAACAGAAAAAAAAAACTGTAACCTATTTTCTGGAAAGAAATTCACCACCACCACCACCTTTGTCATACTCACCAATCACTGTTACCATTTGTTTACTTCAAGCATTCATTCCGTTGGTTATCTGTTTTATTCAACCGGTTTGTTTCTTTATTTATTTAAATTTTCGAATCAATTCACACAGCGAGAGCGATGTAAACAATCGAATACTGTACCGAACGCCTGACGATGACTGACATTTTGACATTTCACCATCACCACCCTCTAGGCCCATATTATCACTCACCATTACCACCGAAGCTTTTCGTATCCCGAACATCTGCGCCGAACCTTTCTTTCTCACGCCTCAAACCTGTCCCACCCCCATCATTCAGTAGCTGGGCCTAACCAATAGTTTTGTAGCCTGTGACAGTTCAAGGTTGGCCGAAAATGGCCGCGTCGTGAGTACCATTTGCGCTTGATGATCGTCGTTGAAAGAACAATAGAGAAAAGAGCAAGTGGATGATGACAAAACAGTGCTGCCAGATTTCTTATTAGGAATTTTTTTTTTAGGTTTCAATGCAATTCAGCCCATAATCAATCTACAGAATTTCTACAATGCAGCAATGGCATGACCCCAAGATGACCCTAGAGTGTTTCATGTAGACAGGAATTGGAATTAGCGACAGTAGAATTTAAATATCATTTAAATTACATGAAAAAACGTTTTAACAAAATTTAATGTTAAACAATTTGAACAAAAGTTTTTGAGCTGATGATTTTTATCAATTTGGAAATGTCCATAATTTTAAACATTCGAAAAGGTGGCATTTTTTATGAAATTAAAAAAAAATAACAGTTTTCTTTTTGTATATTTTTTCCAGAAAAACATTATTTTTCTCTACAACTTTGTGTTAGACGTCAAGTCGACCAGAAGTGCCTTTTCAGCCCATTTTTTTTTCTTATTTAAAAGGCGTCATTTCTACAATTTTACAAGATCCAAAATGGCTGCATTTTAGCAAGAATGTGAATCATTGCTCAATGAATTCAGATTGACCAATTCAAATTTAACGAATCAAATTAACCTATCAAATCAATCAAATCAAGTTGGCCAATTCAGATTGAACAAATAAAATTGACCAGTGAAAATAAACCAATTCAGATTGTCCATTTAAAATTGACAAATTCAGTTTGACCAATTCAAATCGATCAATTCATCAAATCAAATCGACCAATAAATAGACAAATCAAATTGACCAATTCAAATTAACCAACTAATATTCACCGATTCAAGTTGACAAATTAAAGTTGACCATTTCAAATTGACCAATTCATATTAATCAATTCAAATTGACCAATTCAGACTGACTAATTCAAATTGTACAAACCAAATTGACCATTTCAAGTCGTTCATTTCTTATTGGCCAAATCAAATTGACGAATAGAAATCGACCAATATAAATTGACCTAATAACATCGGCCAATATAATGAAAAAAATCCAATTGATCAGTTGAAATTGATCAATAAAATTTGACCAATTTAAATTAACCAATTCATATTCACTAATTCAATTTGACCAATTCAAATTCACAAATTCAAGTTGACCAATTCAAATTTACCATCTCTGAATTGACGAATTCAGATTGGCCAATTGAAATCCAACGATGAATATTTAAATCAAATTGACCAGTTCTAATTAAAGCAATTCAAATTTACCAATCCAAATTCACCAATTGAAAAGGATCGATTCAAATTGACCAATAAATTTAACAAATCAAATTGACCATTAAAAAAAAATACATTTCAAATTGACCAATTCAGAGTGGCCAGTTCAAATAGACCAATAAAGTTACCAATTAAAATGGACCAATTCAAATTAACAATTTCAGATTAATCAATCCAAATTGACCAATTGAATTCGACTAATAAATTTAACAAATCAAATAGACCAATTCAAATTAAAGCAATACAAATTGACCAATTCAAATTGACCAATAAATTTAACAAATTTACCAATTCAAATTGATCAATTCAAATTATACCAATTCAAACCGACCATTTCAAATTAACCAACTCAAATTGACCAATTCAGATTGACCAATTTAAAATGAATCAGATTGACCAATTCCAATTGACCAATAAATTTAACAAATCAAATTGACAATTTCAAATTGACCAATTCGCATTGACCAATTCGAATTGACCAATAAATTTAACAAATTAAATTTACCAATTCCAATTGATCAATTCAAATCAGTCATTTACAGATTAACAAATCCAAATTGACCAATTGACTAGTTCAAATTAAAACGATACAAATTGACCAATTCAGATTGACCTATAAATTTAACAAATCAAATTTGCAATTCAAATTGAAGAATTCAAATTAAACCATTTCAAATTAACCAACTCAAATTGACCAATTCAAAATAGACAACTCAAATTGATTGACCAATTCAAAATATCGATTCAGATTGACCAATAAATTTAACAATTCAAATTTACCAATTCAAATTGATCAAATCAAATTTCACCAATTAAAATTGACCAATTCAAAATCATCGATTCAAATTGACCAATAAATTTATCAAATTAAATTTACACCAATTCAAATTGAGCAATTCGAAATCATTCATTTAAATTGATCAATTCAAATTCACCAATAAATTTAACAAATCAAATTGACCATTTTAAAGTTACCAATTCAAATTGACCAATAAATTTAACAAATTAAATTTACCAATTCAAATCCATTTCAGATTAACCAATCTAAATTGACCAATTCAAGACCAACAATTGAAAAGACGGCAACTCCATTTTGTAAACAAACCTTGTAAGGCTATTTTCTCGCGAACCGAAGTCCGGCAAGGCAAAACAACAGAATGAATAGATAGGGGAAATTCTCCTCTACCCGATTGTGGCTTAGGTTTGCGAATGTAGGTTTCGGTTCACGAGAAAATGTTGTTTACTAAATGGAGTTGAGGCCATTTAAATTGTTGGTCTTGACTGAACCAATTCAAATTAAAACAATACAAATTGACCAATTCAGATTGACCAATAAATTTACGAAATCATATTTGGCAATTCAAATTAAACCATTTAAAATTAACCAACTCAAATTGATCAATTCACATTTACAAACTCAAAATGATCGATTCAAATTGACCAATTAAAATCGAACAATAAATTAAACAATTCAAATCTACCAATTCAAATTGATCAAATCAAATTACAAATTACATCAAAATCATCGATTCACATTGACCAATTCAAATTGAGCAATTCAAAATCATTGATTCAAATTGACCCATTCAAATTAATCAATTCAAATTCACCAATAAATTTATCAAATCAAATTGACCACTTCAATTCAAATTGACCAATTCAAATCGACCAATTCAAATTGACCAATTCAAATTGATCAATTCGAATTGACAAATTAAATTTACAAAATCAAATTGATCATTTTAAATGGATCTTTTCAAATAGACCAATTCAGATTGACCAATCAAATTTAGCAATTCAAATTACACCTATTCAAATTACACCAATTCAAATTACACCAATTCAAATTACACCAATTCAAATTACACCAATTCAAATTGACCAATTTAAAATGATCGATTCAAATCGACCAATAGATTTAGCACATCAAATTTAACAATTCAAATTGACCAATTCAGATTGACCAATAAATTTAACAAATCAAATTTACCAATTCAAATTGATCAATTCAAATTGACCTACTAAAATTTATCCATTCACAATCGATTAAAATCGACCAATAAATTTAACAAATCATAATTCAAATTGTCCAATTTGACCATATCCAATCGACCATTCCCAATTGACCAATTCAAACTGACCAATTGTAATTGATCTATTGAAATTGGCCTGTTCAGATTGATCAATTCAAATCGTCCAATAAAATTAAAAAAATCAAATTGACCAATTCACTAGACATTCCAAAAACGCCTGGACTTTTCACGGTGGCTTCAAAATTTCAAAATCCATACAAAATCCTGAAAACGCCAAAAATGGTGCCAAAGTGTCAAAATGGGCTAACGAGAAAAGTGGTTTAAAAATATAAAAATTGACTTTTAAAGCCAGCTATATAAAGAGCCTTTCCAATAACAGTTCAAAAATGTCAAAATGGCCTAGACTTTTCAAATTGTTTTTAAAATTCCAAAATCCAAGAAGACTCCTGAAAACGCAGAAAATGGTACCAAAATGGTCAAAATGGACTAACACATGAAAAAAATTGTCGAAACATGTCAAAATGGACTATCCAGATTAGCTTTATGAAAAGACATTGCAAACATGTTAAAATGGCAATGAATTTTTAAAATTGATTCAAAATTTAAAAATGCAAGAAAAATCCTGGCAATCCCAAAAATGGCGTAAAAAAGCCCAAATGGACTATAAATCGAGAAAAAATGGTCCAAAAATGTCAAAATGGACTTTCCAGACCAGCTTCATAAAAAAAAATTCAAAAAATGCTAGAATGGCCAAGAATTTTCAAACTGGCTTTTAAATTTCTAAAATCCAAGAAAAGTCCGAAAATCGCCAAAAATGGTGCCAAAAACTTCAAAATGGGCTAAAAACCGAAAAAAAATGTCTAATAATGTTATAATGGACTTTTCAAACTAGTTTTATAAAAAGACTTTCTA